TTATATATTATTGAATTTTATTTGCTAATATTTTGTTAAGGATTTTTACATGTAAGTTCATGAGAGATACTGGAAAGATGCTGGTCAGTAGTTTTTTGTTTGTTTTTTTTACTTTGTCTGTTTTTGGTATCAAGGTAATACTGGTCTCTTCATTTTATGGAAGAGATGTGTAGAATTGATGTTACTTCTACATTAACATTTGGTAGAAGTATCCATTAAAACTAGGCCTGGAGATATTAACTATTTACTTCATTTTTTATTACTTATAGGGCTTTCAAATTATCTATTTCATATTAGGTAAGTTATAGTAGTTTGTGCTTCTTTTTGAGGATTTAGTCCATTTCATCTAAGTTGTCAAATTAGTGGATGTAGAGTTGTTCTTCGTATTTTTTAATCCTTTTAACATCTATAGGTCTGTAATTAGATCCCCTATTACATTGCTGATATTGGTAATGTGTTTTCTTTTTTATTGTCAGTATTGATAGAGGTTTATTATTTTTTGATCTTTTCAAAGTACCTCTTTTCTGTTTCATTATACTTTCTCTATTGTTTTTGTTTTCAATTGTATTGATTTTGGCTCTTATCTTATTTTCTTACTTTGCTTGCTTCAGGTTTTTTATCTTCTAGTTTCTTAAGGTAGATGCTTAGATTATTGGTTTGAGACCTTTCCTTTTTTCTAATGTAAGCATCTAGTGCTATAAATTTCCCTCTCAGCCTCACAAATTTTGATATGTTGCATTTTAATTCAAATGTTGTTTGATTTCCCATGGATTATTTGTGTGTTCTTTAGTTTCTAAGTGCCTGAAGAATTTCCTGCTATCTTTCTGTTATTGATTTCTAGTTTGTGTCCATTATGGTTAGAGAACACACTCTATTATTTCAATTCTTTTAAATTTCTTCAGTTATGTTTTGTGAACCAGGATATGGTCTACATTGTGAATGTTCCATGTACGCTTAAAAAGAATGTGTATTCTACTATTATTAGGTAGAGTGTTCTATAAATGTCAATTTATTTGTACTGGTTGATGTTCAGTTCTTCTATATCCTTGTTGATTTTCTGTCTAGTGATTCTATAATTTGTTGAATAAGTTTCCAACTATAAATGTGGACTGACTTGTCTATTTCTCCTGTTTTTTCAGTTTTTGCTTCAGGAAATTTGAAGCTCTTTTGTTTGCTGCATACATATTTAGGATTGTGATGTCTTGTTGGAGGATTGACCCTTTTACCCTTAAGTGATGCCCTTCTTTATCCCTGGTAGTTTTCTTTCTTCCAAAGTCTATTTTATTTATTATTTGTTTGTTTATTACAGTGTGTTGCTCTGTTACCCAGGCTAGTGCAGTGGCGTCATCATAGCTCACTGCAGTCTCAAACTCCTGGGTTCAAGCGACCCTCCTGCCTCAGCCTTCTGAGTAGCTGGGACTGCAGACATGTGCCACTATGCCTGGCTAACTTTTCTATTTTTTTGTAGAGATGGGGTCTTGCTCTTGACAAAGCTGGTCTTAAACTTCTGGCCTCAAGTGATCCTTCCACCTTAGCCTTCCAAAGTGCTAGGATTACAGGCATGAGCCATCACACCTTGCCAGTCTATTTTATTTAATATTAATATAACAACTCTTCCTTTATTTTGATTGATGTTTGCATGGTATGTCTTTTTCAGCCTTTTACTTCCAACCTACCTATATCATTATATTTGAAATGAATTTCTTATAGAGAGCATATACTTAGGTTATGTTTTAAAATCCATTCTGCCAATCTCTTAATTTGTATATTTAAACTACATATATTTAACATAATTATTGATATTTTAGGACTTAAGTATGCCATTTTTAAAAATAAACTTGATTTCTGTTTGTTCTTTCTTTTTGTCCCTGTTTCCTTCTTCCTACCTTCCTGTGAGTTTCCTGAACATTTTTTAGAATTTATCTGCAATGTTTTTTAGTGTATCTCTTTGTACGCTTATTTTAGTAGTTTCTTTGGATTATACATATGTAACTTCTCATAGCATCCTAGTGTCAACATTTTACTACCTCCAGGGAAATGTAGAAAACTAATCTCCATTTAGGTTCCTTTATCCTGCCCTTTTAAATATTTTCTCTACATATATTGAGAGCCACATCATACAATGTTACACCTTTTGCTTCAATAAGAAAAATTAATTTTAAAAACTCAAGAGAATAATCTATTAAATTTACTCATATTTTATCCTTTCTGTTGTTCTTTCTCCATTTGTGATATTTCAAGCCTCCTTCTTTTATCATTTCCTTTCCGTTGGGAGAACTTTATTTAGCAAGTTCTTTACAACAGTTCTATTGGCAATAAATTCTCTTAGTTTTCTTTCATCTGAGAATGTCTTTATTTCACCTTCATTCCTGAAGGATGTTATCGTGGGATATAGAAGTATAAATCAATAGTTATTTTCTTTCAGCACTTGAAGAATGTGCCACTTTCTTCTGACCTGCGTGTGAAATCCATTGATATTCAAATCATCATTCCTATAAGTAATATGTAATTTCTCTCAGTTGCTTTCAAGATTTTTTCTTTGTTTTTACTTTTCTGAAGTTTGATTATGCTGTGTTTTGGTGCAGATTTCTTTGGGTTTTTCTTGTTTGGGGTTCCCTCACCTTCTTGAATCTGTAGGTTTATGTCTTTTGCCAAATTTGGGGAATTTTCAGCCATATTTCTTCAAGTATTTTTCAGCCCCACTCTTTTTCTGGAACTCTAATGACACGTACAATAGATCATTTATTAGGGTACCACAGGTCCCTGAGGCTGTTCATTTTTTTCATTGTATTTTCTATCGTTAAGATTGAGTAATTTCTATTGTTCTATTTTCAGATTCACTAATTTTTTACTCTGTCATCTCATTTCTGTTGTTGAGCCCATTCAGTGAGTTTTTCAAATTTTTGTTATTGTATTTTACAGTTCTAAAGTTTCCACTTGGTTCTTTTTATAGTTATATTTCTTTGCTGCTGAGAATTTGTTTTTTCATTTTGTTTCATGTGTGTTCGTAATGGCTAACTCAAACATTTTTATGATAGCTGCTTAAAATCTTTCTCAGATAATTTAAATATCTGTGTCTTTTCAGTGTTAGTATCTGTCAGTTGTCTTCTCATTCAAGTTGAAATCCTCCCGGTTCTTGGTTTGACAAGTGCTATTTTCATTGTCTGGGACACTTAGGGTATGATGTTATGAATCTCTGAACCTTATTTAAATCTTCCATTTTATTGATAGACACTTAGGTTGATTAAATAAAAAAAGAAATAAGTCTTGTATTTTAGCAGGCCTCCACTGACACCATACCAGTGGAGAAAGGGGTGCACCACCTGGTTACTGCCAGGCCAGGGTGGCAGTGCAGAAGTCCTGGCTTTCCACTAGGCCTCTGCTAACAGGAAGGGGGATTTTTTTCTGTGGTGCTTGGGTTCTGTCTTTCTAGGCTGAACCTTTTCCTGTCCCTTGCCTAGAGATAACAGGCTTTTCTTGGGGCTTTTATGTTTGTGACAAATAAGGGCATTTCTGAAGCCTGCTGGCTTCTTCAGCACCCAATTCCAGGATGTAGAGGAGGCAAAAAGAAAACCCAGGACCACAGTGTTCCTCAGTTGCCAAGGTTCCTAGTCAGTCTGTCTGCTTCTTTTCACCCTTCAGAGTTGTCTTATCTTTGTTTTATATATCATATTTGGGGTTTTTAGTTCTACTTTGTGAGAGGAATAAGAAGTGCATCTACTCCATCTTGTCAACCAGAAGTCATCCCATCTGGAAATTGGTTTTTATTAAACTAAATTATACTAAAATTTGACAGGGTGGCTCGCTCTTTAGATAAATCAACTGTACTAGCAGAATATTATGGATTTATAGAAAAGTCTCAAAACATTTATGACATTAGCTTTTTTTCCCTTAATGCTTAGTGCGAATCTTTTTTTTTTTTTTTTTTTTTTTTTTTGAGACAGTCTCACTCTGCCACCCGGGCTAGAGTGCCATGGAGTGAGCCTAGCTCACAGCAATCTCAAACTCCTGGGCTCAAGCAATCCTCCTGCCTCAGCCTCCCGAGTAGCTGAGACTACAGGCATGTGCCACCATGCCCTGCCAATTTTTTCTACATATATTTTTAGTTATTTGGTTAATTTGTTTCTATTTTTAGTAGATACAGGGTCTCACTCTTGCTCAGGCTGGTCTCGAACTCCTGAGCTCAAACAATCCACCCGCCTCAGCCTCCCAGAGTGCTAGGATTACAGGCATAAGTCATTGCACCTGGCCTTTGTTTGAATCTTCATTACACATTTTTAATCATCTTGAAAGTGCTTGTTTCCCAGACTCTGCATCAGTAGTTCTGTTAGGCTGATGGACATTTCACATTAGAAAATTCCAAATTTGGTACACATCCAGGATCAGGGGAAGGATCACAAGAAAGAAACTAGTGATAGAACTAGCACAAATATACCCAGAATCAGCTGACCCTCCGCTGCTCACATACAGTGACACAAATAATGTGTTTAAATGAAAGAAAAAACATAAGGTGCCACAAAAGCAGAAAGCTGAACTATATACAGCCTCAGTTTTACAGAACAGCCAATTGTTGGCTTGATTTTAAGAGCTGGTACACAAGTGAATGGATGGTTACATGGTTGGTGCCTAAATGTACAACTTCAACCCTAGCTCCTCCCACTACTGTATCCAGCAGGTCCCTGAAAGCTGTTCTCCTCAGTAGGCGCTCGACAGCAGCAGCTGAGAAAGCACAGCCACACTAACAGAAGTGCCCCCATAGTTTTCCTGTCTTTACCCTCATTGAACACCCCTGGGGTCATTTTCTCTTTATCTGTCTTCACAAACTGGAAGTGATAGAAACGGATTCAGTATGGGTTTCCAGCATTAGATAATACAGCTTGGGTAAGGAAGATTATAGATTTCATATTTAAGAGGCTTTACAACATCAGGGTTCAACAGAGTTTCTGTCTGTGGATTTCCATGTTCTGAAGTTCAAATGTCCTTTGTTCCTTCCCTTCCAGGTCAGTCACCATGAACCGGGGCACTCAGCATGCTGCTCCAGCACTGGAGAAGCAGCGCCATGGAGGCAATCTGTCACACTGTCGGAGACTGGGACTTGACTTAGTACCAACTGCTGTGCAATTCTGCTGAGCAGGAATATCATGAGCTGTTCAATAATGACGGATGCATTGGTTGAGATGAAGTTTCCAGTAAGGAAGTGACAGTGCAATGTGGATATTTATGGCTATAAAAGAGAAAGAGCTTGAGTTCCCAGGCTGAACCTGCTTCTGCTGGAGCCATTTCAATAAGGCATCCTCTCCACAAAGAAGAGATGTGATTTGGGACCATTTCACATCAGCAGGTGTCTGAACAAAAGCATCAGTGTGAATAAGGGCCAAGCGCAGTCCTGTCTATCCTGATTAAATTACTTAATATTAAATAAAAGGTCTGGGTGGTATTGTTTTTAACCTGACTCATCTGGCTGTCTTTCAAACAGCTCCCCCTCCCTCTACCCAGAACAATTTTTAAAAAGTAATTTTGCCCCTGGGATGGGAGAAACCTAATGAACTGACGCAATTTTGACTTTTAAATTGTTCTAGCTGGGCCGGGCGCTGTGGCTTACGCCTGTAATCCTAGCTCTTGGGAGGCCGAGGCGGGCGGATTGCTCAAGGTCAGGAGTTTAAAACCAGCCTGAGCAAGAGCGAGACCCCGTCTCTAGTAGAAATAGAAAGAAATTAATTGGCCAACTGATATATATATAAAAAATTAGCCGGGCATGGTGGCGCATGCCTGTAGTCCCAGCTACTCGGGAGGCTGAGGCAGAAGGATCACTCGAGCCCAGGAGTTTGAGGTTGCTGTGAGCTAGGCTGACGCCACGGCACTCACTCTAGCCTGGACAACAAAGCGAGACTCTGTCTCAAAAAATAAATAAATAAATAAATAAATAAATTGTTCTAGCTGGTGTTTTTGTAATTATACTATTAAATGACTTGAGTCATGCTCATGACAAGATTTGTTTTGTTTTGCTAGGAAGCAGATTTTATGATGTAGTTCAATTGCATGGTTCAGGTAAAAGCTAGCCTATGGATGAAGGAATACAAATACTATATGAAGGAAACTATATCAGGTTCAAGAATTTTAGCAATTATCCATTAAGAACCTAAACATTAAGTTGCAATGTGAAATCCACTTGCCTCAGTCTTACTACTTGATATTGCCTACACTTAGCAATAACCTTTTTCAGGATTTTACACTCAAAAGCCTTTTAAAGACTGTTGCAGGCCAGGAGTCCTCACAGGCAGAGATCAAGTTTAAAGTAGTTCTTTTAACTCTAAGGCATATTTTTTTAAAAATCTATTGCCATGATTTTTATACCTTATTTTAAAACTGAATTTCTTTAAGCATCCAAATCAGGGGCCGGCAAAAACTTTTTCTGTGAAGGGCAAGATTGTAAATAGTTAAGGGTTTATGAGACATATGATCTCTGTCACAGCTCCTCAGCTCTGCCACTGTAGCACAAAAATAGCCACAGACAATATGCAAATTAATGAGCATAGTGTATGCAAATAAAACTTTATTTACAAAAACAGGCAGTGGGCTGGATTTGGTTCAGGGGCAGGCTGGAGTTTGCCAACCCCTGGTCTAAAGGAAGCTGGAGAAGAGCTTCCACCCAGAAAAGAACCTCTCAGTGAGGGAAAGAAACAGACTAGGAATATATCATACTGCAGCCTTCTACTAACAGAAGATACTTTAAAATATGAAACAAGATTAGCTCTGCCAATTGTTTTATTTTGACTTTTGTAAAAAAAAAAAAAGCTTTGAGAAAATGTGTTAAATATCAGTAAAGGGCAGGAAAACACGTGGCTAGCTTTACAATAGCAATCTAAACATATACACAAAGGCAAACATTGAGTAAAATGCTAAGGATGCTACTGCAGTTTCCTTATTGTACATAAAGGTTGCAGATAACTCCAAGTCTTTAATTTTTCATTTTTTTGGGTCACTGATGTGCAAATCTTTAATTTTTCAGTTATAACATACTTGAATGTTATTTTATATATCATGTTTATTTATATAACATACTATAACGTTAATTTTATAAAACCACCAGTTTACTACTATGAAGACAAAATTCTCCCCAATTACGGTATGTAAGCTCTCTATAAAAAGTTCCCCAGAAGGTTATATCATTCTATGTTAAATTCGTCCTATCTATTTAAAAAACTGGTTTTCAGCTATTAAATGAATCTTGGTGGCATTCCCATTTAAACATTTTAATGGACACAGTACAACTTCCCAAGTAAGAAGTACCAGATGTATTTTATGTAAAAAATAAAGACAACCTAGGAGGAGCTGGCCCTACTATAAAGTCACACTTTGAATGAGTGATTTTAAGTGGTAAATTCTATATCCACAGACTTAACACTCACATAACTAAAAATCATTCCCCTGCTTTTCCAAAGCTTACAACTGCAATAATCACAACAAAAGTCAGCCCCCAAATCTCCATGCAATTAGTCATCCAGTAACACCTGATTGTAACTTTAAGTGATTTGGATAGCAGATGTCAAGTTCTTCATGATGTTTAGAAGTCCTTTTCTATTTATCTGAGTTTTTCCTATATATATATATATAATCTCCAGACAATTTTCCACTGGTCCAGAGTCAAGAGTTGACCATGACATTTGGCAATTCTGTTAAGCCTTTTTAAAAGGTGGCCCTCAGAATGAGAAAGTGACCTCTGCCTTGTGCTCTCATTTCTGCTTTAGGCCTTTTCAAAAGATGGCACAGTAGGCAGACCTTCCTTCTCATCTTCTCCAAGGCTCAGCTAGCAGAAAACTGGCTGCCTGTGTGTTCCATATGGGCCGTGGTTATAGTATACCCTGCTTACGAAAATAAAATTAACATCAAAAACTTTGGTTTTGCTCTTTACAATTTTTGCTAGTACTGGGTGACAAGATGTTTGTTAATTTTAAAAATGTCTATGAAAATTGAAACTGGAAAAATGGTTTATTTCTAAGTCTTGTTTTGAAAGGATTGTCAATGAGTCTACTTGTTTTTCCTAGTTAAACACTAGCATTGGTTTCTACAGTATTTCTCTACATGTTATTAGGTTTTAATAAAGGAGAAGGTCTTTTCAGGTATCAAAGTAGTGAAAGCAGCGTTCAGATGGGCTGTTTCTAAACTACAACTCTTGGACACTAGAGTCCTTCAATTTACTATATCAGAATGTTGCAACTGACAGTGGCAAGCCAGATTCTCACTTAAAGAACAAGAGAAGGATCAGAACTGAATGGTACTAATCTAATGTACATGACAAACTTGTTCCCACACTAAGTAATCTACAGAATCAATATCAAAAGTCAGGCTTGAAACTCGCCAAGTTCCTCACTTCTGAAGTGGAATAAGTCATATACTTATGAGATCAGCAGGCTGACTTTCCAGCACCCTCATTCCAGACTACCTTCTGTAGCAGATGGTAAAATCAGCTTTCCCACACCTCTTAGAACTCACAATAGGTACAAGGTAGGTTTCCAAGTGGATGACTTTCACTTCTGATGAGTTGCTCAGTTGCCCTGCTGTCAATGTTCCCTAAGTGCATTGGTGGCATTTCTACATTTGGAAATCACTTGTTCACATTAAATATCCGACATGATTAATTTCCACTGTAGACAAAGACAGGGAAGATATGATTTGAGGGGAGGGGCGACATGAAACAGACCTCCATTTTTAGAAGGAACTGTTATGTTAATTCTTTGCCCTAGACTGAAATGTTCATGGACAGCTGAGATACTGTTTTGCATGTTTTCCAAAGAGATTTCATTTGTCAATCAAACCACAGACAACATTTTCGGGTCTAGAGAACACAAGCTAAAGAGTTCCTTGCTGTTTGCTTGATGAAACATTTGATGTCTCAGTGTGATTTTTGGCTCCAAGGCATCAATGCTTATTTATATGATCACCCCAGTAACTACCTGGGATGGTTGGAGTCGATATGCCCTTCCTGTGCTTGTTTCCTAGGAAGAAATACAGCCTTATTTACATTTCAAATTTCCTCCTCTAAGAGAGAAAGTTTAGGTTTTCTGGTAGTTTCCAAAAAGAGTACTAAAAGGAGTGGCAGGAGTTTTAAATCTTTTCTCTGTCAGGGCTATATAGAAGTGTGCATCTCTTTAATTACCTGCTATCAACACTACCACCACCATATGGTAGCAAAATGACCACAGCCTTCCACTTTGCTCTGGCAGTAAATGGGCCCACCCTTGTTCTGAGGAATCTAACATGGATTCATGCATGGGGACAGGAGAAGAGAAAATGTTTGCCTGCAGAGCGGACTATTAATTTAATTCTAGGTTCAATTTAAAAGACAGCTTCCCAGAAACCTTCACATTTGATCAGTCAGCAGCTCAGTTAAGACAAAAACCCTCTTTTCCCCCCACAAATGGGAACAAAGAGGATAGATTTTAAATCCACCCCCCCATCACATACCCTTAAGTCACTCTTCTCTCTCCTTTAGGGCTCTAGGGTTTTCAAACATGATCTTTAAAGTTGCACTTTATAGAGCACATTCTTGAGTTGTGCAAAGATTAGCATGAAACTCTCAACAGCTGCCGAGTCTGTATTATTGATCAATACTGAGTTTGTGCCACATGACTAACAATTTAAAAAAAAAAAAAAAACAACCTTAACTTGCTAGGCTGTTCTTTTAAGTAAGTTTTCAAATAGGGTCCACTATAAGCTCTAGACTAAAAGCTATCAACCCTGGCTACACAATAGGAATTCCTGAGGTTCCAAAACAAAGCATGGACACCAAGATCCCACCTGAAGCTACTAAATCTGAATCTGAGGGGAGAGCTCTTGCACTGATTTTTTTAAAAGAAAAACTGGCCAGGTGATCCTAATGTGCCACCAAGGTTAAGAAGCTCTGCTCTAGAACATCTGATTCTGCTAAACTGTCATCCCCTGACCTAGAACAAGTATGTGTTTAAGATGGCTTGAGTTTGCTCTCTCAGAAGATCTTTGAGTTGGATGTACCATTACTTAGCAGTTTCAATCTGGTTTTATGCCAGCTTGGAAGCAGACAGATGGCCTTTTGTTGAACGGTGTCTGGGCTTTGTGGCACCCTTTTTTCCACACAGCGTAGGCATGTTTCCAGATGTGAAACCATTTTGACAAATGGATTCACTTTCCCAGGACCCCTGGTAAGGTGAGGGTTATTCTCCACATCTTGCAAGCAAAAATTAGGACCACCAGTCAAAGTGACTTACTTTGATCCACGGAATATTTGTAATCAAATAAGGACTTAGAACACCAGAAAGCAGTTCTGATTTGAAATGTCTGACAGCTTGGGGTTAGTGGCAAAAAGAAGAAAGCAAGCACAGCCTGGAAGAACAGCTTCCTAACCCACAAAGAAAGGCTGGTGGGGTAGGTCACTGGGCAAATGCTGCAAACAGGTTTCGGGTACTCTCTT